CTCCTCCCCATAGGAAAAAAAAAAAAATGCAGGAAGAAAGGGCTTTACCATGGTATCAGTATGACATTGCATCTGCTGGGGTTTAAGTTCAAGCTTTACTATAGGTCTGGATGTTGGATTTCAGCAGGAGGAACCAGCACATAAAATGCTGTGCTGGCTTTAGCCCAGGGTTTGCAATCCAGAAGTTCATAGGAGAGGCTGCTGCTTTTCCTCATCTGGGATTCCTGACACCTTGTCCTGTGTCTGAGAGCTTGGGTGTCTCAGAAAGGGATTTCAAAGATTAGGATGCTAAAGAGGAACTGTCAGGAGGTGGCTCTAAGGAAAACTGAGAAGACAGTATATCCTAATCTTTCCTCAACTACTTCTTTGGGCTTCACTCAGATTTACAGTGAGATGTGTTTTCTCCAGACGAAAAACTCTGGGTGGGTTGCTGCTAACAGTATTTTTTTTTTGCTTTCCCAGCAAACTCTGCAGGTCTCCTGTTTCTAGCACACCTTATCTATTTTTCCCTCTGATGACAGCATATTTCTTCCTTACTGGTAGCATTTAAATGCACAGGTTTTGAATTCCAACAGAGAGAGCACTCAATGCCTACGTACTTAAAAGACATATCCAGCAGAAGAACAAAAATTTTATTATGTAGGTTTTGATATACCTACTTACCCAGCTTTGCCCCCAGACACCTCGGATAGAGAACTGAGCAATCCATTAGAGATAAGCTCTTTCCAGACCTTTCTCAGTATAGACACATGCATTTTTTAACAAATTTCAAAATTTACTAAACCCACCCTCCCCATCACCATTTGCAATATCAAACTGATGGCTATTTATTTTCATGTGGTTCTATTCATATCCCAGAGAAGACTAATTGCTTGTATTTTAGAAAGCAGCTTATTGACAACATATGGAAAAAAGGGCAAGATAAAACATGCATTATGTAAGAACTGATTGAAAAAGACGTGACAGATGCCATGATATATAAGTGGTCACAAGTTTGATAACTAAATATATTCAGAAGCAACAATATTGACGTCTTAGCTAATCTAGGCGAATGTGAAAATTATCAAGGCCCAAGACATTGTTAGAATCCCAGGCTCTTAAGATCACAGGAAAAGAGGCTTCCAGTTAGAGAAATTCAGCAGACTTAACAATTACTCTACTTGTGTTGTTACATTCATAAACAGTTATAATATTTTCTCAAATTAGAGGATAAAATGTATCACATTTGCTCTCCAAAGGTGGTATTTATTGTAATCTTATATGATAAATTTAAAACATAGTAAAAGGGCCTTAAAATCATGCCAGTTGCACCAGTTCTCAGACACGACTTGGAGCCACATGGAGAGAATGGAAACACATCTCAAATACTGTTTTTCCCTGTTATGGCCAGGGAAATGGAATGGAATCTGGTAGGGGTGTGCTTCTGCATTCCTAAGGCATCCCAGTTTCTTGACCTTCAGCTGTCAATGTACAAAGCAGAGCTTGCACACACTGTCTCCAAAGTACTGCTGAGCTTTATAGCTCACAATGAATCACATAGCGCAGATGCAATACTGTTAAGAGGAGCTGGAAATTTAGAAAAAACACAAGCACAACTTCCAGCCTGAACTGACAGATGTAATTCATTTCCATAAAAGCAAAGACTGTTATTAAGGAGGATAAATAGAGGAATCAAAGTCAAATGCATGGTAAAAAAAGAGGCTGGTATATTGCAGTAGCAAAAATAATTCAGACAGGCCCAGACTTGTGCAAATAATCAGGCCCATTTAACTTCCAACTGGACACCTCTACCCTTACAAATTCTCTCTTTGAGCCCCATATTGACACCACTATAACACCTAGTGATAAATCTGGGGTGGAACTCTAAGGATGGTTGTGTCCCTGGGGGAAAATAGCCTTCCCATGGCTAGAATTGTGTCCATACAGCCCACACAGCATTTGGGCCTCTTCAGCTGAGTCCAGTTCCCTTCAGGGATGAATCTGTAGGCATTCTAACACGCCTGTTCAAACTCCATTTTACAACATTACCTGGTGCTAAAGCTTCCTGCATGTACAGGTTCCTCAAACAAGGCAACCAGAAACACTGGGAAAAACATGTCTGAAATCATCTCTTGAACCAGCAATGGAATCATACACCTTTCATCTTCAGATCCTGGACAGAATCCTCAAGCAAAATACCATTTACTATGCTTCAAGGAACCCCACAGGTTTTTCCTTTGCTACAATGGCCTGCTGGCTGTGGTTGCTTATATTACGCACACAGGTTTTTTTATGCCAGATGGGAGCTGGCACCTATATACATGTTGTAAAACAGGCAAAAGGCTTTCAATGTCTTTTAAAGGAAAATGCTCTAATCATTAGCCTTGTAAAGGAAGGATGTAACAGCACCTCCATGTGCAATGATTTTAAAAAAACCAACCAACAAAAAAAAAAGCACAACCAAAAAAACCAAAAAAAAAACCCAAACACCAAAAACCCCCAGCAGATAGAACACCAGGGAGCCCTGATCTGCTTGTCTCGTTTTGGCAGGCTCTCCCATGCTGTGAATGACACTTCAGAGTAGCTTTTTATTCAGCTTCTTGTCGTCTGGAAAAGAAAATACTTCAATGCATTTTTAATGAATTTCCTGTAGTTTGAAATGAAACTTTCTAGTCAAGAAAGTAAAACTCTCCACAGAACAAACAGAAAAAGTCACTTAAGAAAAAGAGCTAAAATTGCAATAAATACAATGGGTGCATCTGGACATATTGCCCATCCTAGACTGCCTTTGGCAATTTTCCCCAACAACTTCACACCTGCTAGGTCTCCAGCAAGTTTCCTTTCACACTATCCATCAGGGCTGATGCATAATTCCCATCCAAAGGCTTTCATCAGCATTAAAGCAGTTCAGCGATACAGGTAAATTCTCTATTCCTCTTAAAGACCCTCCAGCAAATCTGAAAAACAAGCCTTTGATCTATAATTTCTCTAAATTTTGCTGGCTTAATCATCATCTGGCTTAACCTTCATCTTCCCTTCCCTAATAGCATCAGGGTGCTACCAGCTCCTTCCTGCGCTCAGACCAGGACTAGCCTTCACCTTGTATCTTGAATTTTTCCCCCAGGCTCACTGGGCTCTGCTGAAGTTGATACAACTTCCTGTCTCTCTGTGCCTGCACTGGCTGCCCTCCTGACACGACAATTGCTAGCATAAGCTATGAAATGCCACATGAGCTACATCCAGCCTATCCCCAGGTGCTTCTTCACATACATCTGGGGCTGTCGTCTAGCTGGTTTCCTAGAAAATTTTAGTCTTATCATTTCAGACCACTGAACAGGCTGAGCAGATTTTACTTTTACACACATACCAGGTCAGAGGCTCTTCACTAGATGAACACTGATATTCAGCAGTATTTGAGACCAAGACTGCTTTTCAAGTAACAGCATACTTAATTGTGTCTTCTCCAGGACCATTCCAAAAGAGCATCCAGATACAAATCCAAGAATACAAATCTGAGACTGATCCCTGCAGAAAGGAAGGAGGAAAAAGGGCAGAAGGCAGTGGTAGGCAAAAAGCCAGAACCTGACTTCCACAACCAAGTCCTCAGCTATGTTTTTTCTCTTAGGAGTACTAAGTACTAAACATAAAAGTAAATATCTTTTAATGGGAATTGAGAGCACCTATTCCCAGCTCAATCTCAGATATTTCATGGGACCACAGTAAGACCACTCGGGCAGGAAACAGGCTCAATTCTCTTAAATTCAGACTTAAAATATATACAACAGAAGTCTCATGCTCCTAACTACCAGAAATGGATCTAGTGCTCTTAAGAAACACACCCAGTATACAAAGAGGTATTAAAAATTAATTTAGGAGGTTTTTTTCACCAGCCCAGGTAAAGTTCCTGATAATTTTCAGCCTGCAGGCTGAACTCCTCTTATACTACCAGCAGCCATAGTTTACATAGATTACATAGAACCTGACCCCAGCATCCACTGAAACTCTCCTGGGATGCTAGACAGGCCTTGTCTATAACCTAACAGCAGAAATCCCCATCTGATCGATGCGAGTGACATGAGTAAAATGTGAGATGTGGGGTGGGTAGCATCATGCCATGTAGCATTAAGTGGCAGCAGCAGCATGTATGACTAATTTGTGCTACAGGCTTAAAAATGACAGCCACGGAAGCTAGGAGAAAGGGCTGTAGTCTTCCAGATCTATGATCTAGCTGTGGTTGTCAAACATAGCAGATTTCTTGGCATCAACATCTGTCCCCGAAGCAAGCAGCAATTACAGCACTTTGCAGCACTGTAAGCCATTCTGACAGCTTTCAGCTCAGCCTGCAAAGGGATTTGATGGTCCTGACCACACTTAGCAAACGAAATAAGGGTTCCCCACTCCCTGCTTTGCATGGACCACTACTCATACTGAAATGATTTCTCCATACATGCCTCTATACTCATATTTTCTGCAAGCTATAGTTCATTTTTGCTGAAACAGTTTTTACAAGTCTATGGCTTCTAATGCACAGAAGCTTTGCCAGGCCCAAGTGCAGAATAATAGAAAATCACTTTAGGTACTGTGAAGAAATAGAGAAAGATGACAGATGGTCTGTTGGCAGGTAAGGTAAGAAAGAAGTTCTCTTAGATTACCTCACAGGAATAAAAAAATCACTGAAATAGATAATAAAGTGAGCATTGCTAATCTGTGTATTATTCGTTTGCTTCTGTGAGAAAGGCAAGGTAATTAATTTAGCTTTTAGCTTGTTGACATAATGACAATGACACATCAGTAGACTGGTCTGCCATCTTAATAAATAATAAAGCAGATTAACATTCATCATATTGCTCATGAAACCCATCCCTTGATCTGTGGATATCTAAAACATCAGGTTGATGGAATCACTTATCTAGCATTAATGTTACAGCAATAATTTCAAGACAATCCATATTAAAGAGGTTTACTGTATTCCTTCCTCTTTCTGCTTCAGGCCACAATTAGAAAGACAAGTGTTTAAGAACTCTCACAATTGTATTTTATTTGACATCAGCAATATACACTGGAGTATAATAGGAACAATTTTTTTTTTTACAATCTTTCTTGCAAGATGGATTTATTTTCCAAATACATAGATGTTCATAGTACAGGAAGGTAACAGTTAAGCTGCACAATAGCAAAACAAGTTGACAGCTATCAAACCACCTTTTAAAGTTTGTTAGTATTGTCAGGTGACCAGCATTGAACATATCATTCAAATAATTTAGTTAACCTTGGATTACTCAAATCTTCCCAGCCACATTGTTCCATGCAACTAAAATGTGCACCAAGAATAGTGTAAAAGAATTCAACCAAAGACTTCCCTTGCTTTGATTACCTTTCCATTTTTCCCCATGTACGAGCCAATACAAAGGGATAAATATCAGAATTTGGCATGGCACAGGAACTCTTGCAACATGCATCTAGGACAGTGACATATTGCAGAAGTACTAAGTTCTTGACAGAGAAGATAGGACTTTCCTATACGGGGTGTTTAAAAAGCATTTTCACTATGCTTGCTTTAAGCACGTATTTTTTGCATGCCAATACTTTTACAGAAAAAAAAAAAAGATAAAAGTACTTCCAAAAGCTTCATATTTTTAATTGGGAGTCTTGCTTGCAATGTCTAAGCCTAAACCCAGATGTTTTGGCTGCAATGGGCAGGGTTTCTCAGGAAAAGAAAAGTTTACAGTAAAACAAAATATCAGTAAATACCACCTTTTTGGGTTTTTTTTAATTCTTTTAATTTTCAGCTTTAAAATGACACAAGATATAGCAGCTACTGCATACTACATATAAATTCATTTTTTATTTGGTTCCTTAGTTGATATAGATCTCAAACTTCAAATTTAAACAGAAGTTGATATCTCCCACTCTGCCTCTTAACTGAATTTGTGAGTAGAAAGAGTGAGAGAAAGGATGTTCCTCATCATTTGTCAGATGGACTGATTTTAACAGCTCACTGAAGTGCCCCAGCAATTTGGAATGTCAGAATAGCAGGACTGGCAGAGTGCAAGGGTGGTAAGTAAAGGTGAGGAGAAAAAGGTACCCAAGGCAACTTCTAGGTGCCTTATTTACTTACTATCAGCAAGTAAATCCTGTGCCTGCAGATAGACTTTTAACATACTGTCTCTGCTCTGTATGCTTGCTAGTGATGCAGCTCTGAGCACAAGTGGGCTGGCATGGCTAGCAGTCGTCCAGAAAATTTAGAAACCTGAAAACCTTTCGTCTGTTCTACAACTGACCTTTCAAGCAGCCAAAGTTGGTTTCTGACACTGCATTAGCACTGGATCTTGAAGCCCACCCAAAAATCCTTACACACCATACTTTAGGACTCTGACCATACTCATAGTGTGCCTTGACTGCCAGGGTTTATCTGCCACTGGCATGGATGCACACCACCCTCTCCCTGCCCAGATTCTGCTGTCCACCTGGTCATGGAGATGTGATGCACAGAGAACCCATGACTAAAGGGAAGGCATGGGAATCCCACACCATCCCAAGAAACTAGTGCTCCTCACCTCAGCCACAAGGCAAGGGAGCAAAGTCAGGGACAGAACTTGAACAAATCAAAACAGTGCAAAAGCAGAAGAACATGCCAAAGAGAGGGTTTGGATTGCTCATCTGGGAAGTTTAAAACAGCTAATGAGCAGTCCTTAAGCCTACTCCAACTCTTACATCTTACCTCAGCAAAATGCCTCAGCTGTTCTTATCAAGAACTGGGATACCTTCTCCTGCTGAACAGGTTGCTCCATCACTGAAACAAACATGCTCCTAACTCATCAAGGCCAGCATTGAGTGCCCTCCTAACTGGACTGATGAATTGAACCTAAAAATTCCTACATCTTCCACAGTTCACCTATGGCATAGCACAAAGAAAACTTGGAAGTATAATTGGAGGAAGGGAAGCTAGTTAATTGCATACATAGTAAGACCAACTGAAAATGTGAAGATCAAAGAATGTCTTTTTTTCACTCACTTTTCTTATCTGATTTCACTATATTTACACATATGATAGCTAGAAAAGAAGTGAGAAGTAGAATTTTAAAACCCCTCCAGAGAATTTTCCCACCTTCTGTTTATATACTGTCTCCACATTCTCCAAAGGAGAAAAAATACAATCCATGTATTTATGAAATGGCTCCTGAATATCCCACGGCTAAGCATCTGGTTTAGCTTAACAGAAAACCCACGTACATTTCACCTTACCTTCCTAAGTGAAATATCTACAAATAAAATTCACCTTTTCAGTACAGATAAATTATTTTTGTATTTAAATTTCAGAGGTTTTAACTAAATATTCTCCAAATTAGAGATTTTATTTGAAAACAAAAGCTATTTTTGTCAGATAATCATAGACAGAAGTTTGCATAGAAGTGTTTCCTACCTTCCTGAAGTTTGCAGTGGAACTTACGATTTCCATGTGTGCAGATGAGGAAACCTCTTAAAAAAAAAAAAAAAGTTTAAAAAAATGAGAAGAATTCAGCTTTATTTTCTTCATCATAATTATGCAACAAAATAGAGTGTCAAAGGGAAACCCCCTTGTTCCAATGTTTAAGTTACAGGAGAGATGGTAGGGGCATAATAATTATACCTACAGAAAAGTCAGCGATGCAGTTCTATCTCTGGGAAGGCCCACAAGCTGCTGGAAGAAGACTGTGGGTACTTACCAGGCAGCAGCACTAAGCATGTTCTGTTTCATTACCAGACCTGCATCTATCATTCTCACCACTCTCCATTTCAAAACATTCAGCAGATAAGCAAGAAGATAAGACTGCAAGACACCTTGGTGTTCCTCTGGGATGTTCTGTGCTGCTACAGTGCATATGAGCAGTGTTGATCTGAAGGAAGTTTCCATTCTGCCCTATTTTGTATTCCAAAAAAGTATTTTCCATCCCATCCCCATTATTCCAAGGACCTTGTTGCACTACAGGACAGCTTGGATGCACAGCAGCATGAAGGCACTCCAGCTGGCAGCAGGAGCTACCTCACATCTTTTCAGTCTTCTAGCCACAGCATCAGAAACCTCATGGGAGACTGACTGTGTTGATCCTCGTGCAGAATTTGCAGTTGGAGTAGAATTCCACATTGCATTCAGCTTGCTCCAAAGCTGTCTATTTGGAAAAGAGTTTAGGGGGAATTTTCATAAGTGGCTTAATCCAATATAAGCTCTGCTTAGCCTCTGAAAGAGGCAGTCACACTCTCTTTACCCTGTTTCTGACCACAGACTCCCATCTTCTCCCACATGAGCAAGATAACAGCTCTCACACACCCACAGTGGGCTACACACACACCTTTGCCTCTTGTGGGATCCATGCTGGGCAAGTGCCAAGTTGTGCATGAGCATTTTCAGACATGGCAACTTTAAATGCAGGTGCAGCCCACAAGCTGTAGCACTGACTGGATTATAAGAACTGCTCAGCACTCAACAGCTCCCATGAATTCAGGTGCAAGAATGAAGTCTTCAGATTTAGTAGGAAAGCATGATACTTTAAAAAAAAACAACCTGGTTGTTACTGTAATGAAAGCTGTTTTTTTCACCCACATCCCCTCTGACAACTCAATTAAATCAGAAACAGCATTCTCTCTATTTAGTCTCTTAAACATAAAGCAAGTTGAATGCTAAGCATTCCAAAGTGCTTCATTACTGAAAATTGAATATATAGAGCCCCAGAAATAATTTTTTTTTTAAATGTTACTGTTTACGTTTTTGGTTGAGAAATGTTCTAAAACAAAGGGAAACAGTAATACTTAATAAAACTAATTTTTTTTCACTTCCCATTCTGTCTCCCAATTCTTCCTGGCTGACAATGAAAATACCATTTTCAAAAACAGCTTCAATGGAACACAAATGTTTATAATAGGACATTAGACACTTTTCTTTATTACTTTCTCATTATACTTATAATGAAGAAATAATTATTTCTAGGCTGTTTCCTGCCAGATGCAGTTCTAGTACCTCTAATAGGACATATCTTAAAATAACTGCTTGGTAGCAAGAAACTAAATTTTTCATCCATACTCATGTTTTCCCTTCTCTTCCTTTTCTCTCTCTTCAAATAACTTCACTGATTTTGACTCTTTCAAAAATCCTGGCCTCTTTTTTTGGTTTTGGTTTTGTTTTGGATTTTTTTAGTACATGATTTGTCATTGATATAATTCACAAAATCACCTTTGTTGGGGAAAAATAAGCACAGGGGGCACCAGAGATATGAGAAAACCTGAGAGATCCTCTGTTTTAATGACAGTGGAGGTAAGACAAGATTCCTCAGACCACAGACTTCAGTTTCTCACCAGCATTAACCCAGCTCAAAGCATCAATCCAGGCTCCTCACGCCCTCCTTTGTACCAGCACTAAGATGGGAGCCAGGTCAGACAGATCCCAGTACTACTAACCAGCCAAAAGGAAACAAGATGAAATTGGGGGTTTAGCTAGACAAGTTGCTTCAGCCTGCTCCCCCACAAGCACTGAAACACTTCCCCACACACAAAGCAAGGCCATAAACAAGAAGGTGAGAGCACTACATTCAGCAGTAATACTGTTTTATGGTGGAGTCTTAAAAAAAGGTTGCCCATGGATTCTGCTTGTAGTCTCTCTGGTGAAGACTTTCAAAAGATGGCAGGACATAAGCCATCTACAATTCAGAAGCTTCTTAGAATAAACATACCCTGAGTCCTGCCCTGCCCAGTGTGCTTCATCAGCCCTTCAAACATGGGTTGAGTATTCAAGGCCAAGATTTTTCACAGGTGAATTAATTTTTCACCACAAAAGCACTGGTGGCATTGATTTGCAAAGGCATGAAACAAATATTTTCAATTAATTGCTCAAGAACTCTGGTTATCTGAAACACCTCAAATCTTCACCACTCATTTGGTGATAGAGAATGCTGTCACAAATTAACAAAAAATTAAGTACATGTACATACAGAATCATCTATTTACGAAAATTTCATTTGACAACCTGGTACATCCTAACAGAACAGTGATTTTCAAGCTTGCAAATATAAAGCATTCTCTGACATTACTGTTAGTAATAAGGTTAGCTACCTCATATTTCAAAATAGCTTTGAAGAAATACTTGTAGACATTCTTTACTTCTGAGTGCTCCATCCTCACAGCAGTTTTACTTACCATGGAGATGAGCCACCAGCACAAGATGATGATGCAAGACGAAGCAGTACTCAACTAAATTTTTCAATGTACTGAGCTCAGGAGTACAGCTGAGTGCTTCATACTTTCATCTGATTCTTCTACCAAACTCCAGTTAAGTTTTTTGCAAGGATGAAAACATACAAACAATGATTTCCTTTAATGTTTCTTTATGTCATCAGATCATCCATAGATTGCTATGTCAGTTAACAGCAACCTGGATACAGCATTCACAAAAACACTAAGCAAATGTTGACACAACAGCAAGATGACCAGCAGGAAATAACCCAGATCTTCATGCTATTTGAAGATTAATTCAGTAATACCACACTCTTCCTCCAGATCTTTTTCTTGATAATAGTTATATGAAGATAGCAATAAAAAAAAAAAAAAACCTACCTCACAAGGTGTTTTCCATCCAAAAAATCCATGTACTCTTTCAATACAGAGCTATTAGCAAGTGCATCTTGAATTTGCCTTCTTAAAATTCAGGGAAATTTTATTATTTCAAGGGATATATGTATATATGTATCCAAGCATTAGTATTTTTAAATGCTAAAATTATGCTTTTTTAAAAAAATAATTCAAAAAATGATGGGAGTTTGGAAGGTTTTCTAAAACAGGGAATGTCCAAGGCTTTTGTTTTGCTGCTGTTATTTTTATTTAGAAGAAGCCATCATGCTCTCAATTCCTCTTGCACAATAAAATGAAAATAGAATTATTACCAAAAAATATAGTGAACTGCAATGGATATTAACTAGTTTTCTTTGAAATCCTTTCCAGTGGAATAACACAAAAAGCATAAGAAAGTCTAAGAAATATTTTTATATGCAGTAAGTTATGGACTAGAAGACAATGCTATTCAATTCTGAAATAAATACCTGTCACATTTCTAAAAATAAAACAGAGTATGTTTTGCAAATTCTATCAATTTTACAAGAACTTACTTTATTGCATTTTTCATTCCCTCCAGTTAACACAGAATATAACATTAGCAAAGAGAGATCTTTACAGGGTGCTCTGTACTTTGCACTACTCTCACTTGCCTGGGATGTGGCAAAAATTTACTTTCAAAGTCTGATTTACTCAGAACACGCTGAAACTCTCACCACACTCACATTCTCCAAAATAGCTACATCTTGACTCTGAGGAGAGTCCTGCAAATGAAGATTGTACAAATTAAAACATATCAGACTCTTTCAAAATGGCACATTTTTCCTTCCAGTAAACTTCCCATTTAAAGTGCGCTGAAGTAAATGAAAAACACATATTCGTGTCAGTGGATACCAGCAGAGGTTCTTTTAAAAATGTAAACTCACCTTGGAAGCCCACAGTGAAAGAAATACAAGGTCTTGAAAATAAATAAATAAATAAGTTTAAAAGATGCTACTGTCATTTAACTTACTTTCAATTTTTTTCTTGGATTTTTTTGCCTCCTTTTTGGGGATGGTGTCTGGTGGTTAATACTGGCCTCAATAATGCTATTTGTTCCTCAGATTTTCACTGAGTATGAGATTTTGTTTAAGCAGTTTTGTTCTACCAAATACAAATGGAGGAACTGTACTGCTTATGCTTTATTGCTTTACTCCTGTCAAAGTATGAAGGGAAGCACCTCCTTTTCTCCCCACTTAGCACTGACCTGCTGCAAACTTTCTGCTGTACAGCCCTGCAGTTCTGTAGGACTTCTACAACTTTGATCATCCTTGGCTTGATCGATATCATCAGCAGATGTTATACTGAACCTAGGCTTCTCAACACCACAGCTGCTATTTTCTAATCTATTATTCAGTACTAGGATTAAATAAAACCAAGGGTGATTTTTGTCAGCTGTCTCTATTGCAATTCATAACAGTGCTAGCCACACAAACCCCTTCTATCTTAGTGAGGTCAAACCCTCTTGGCAAGTCCCAGGAAGACAAGGTACACCAACATTTCTTTCCTCCTTAATCTTCTAAGTCAAGCAAAAGTTATAAGAAGTGTGCAAAGTCCATGATCTACTCTGCTATCCAAACCTCTTGGCAGCTTTTGGGATTTGGATGTATAGTGTGCTATAGTACACTGAAAAAGCTTCTCCTAAGACACGTGCAGAACTCATGGGAAAATGTCCCAGATGGCCAATGTGTGTCTCCTACAAAGCCTGTGTGTCATTTCTTCCATTCTGGCCTTCCCTACACTTCCAACAGAACAAGGAATATGGGAAGCTAGGCTTTGGATAAATTGGACAAATAGACACTGCATACCCTGAGGTTCTCACCTGGCATAAAGACAATGAGCTACAGCATTAAGGTACACTGAGGCCAAATGACATACAGGACATACACAATACAGTGGAAGAACATGGATTTCTGGGCATATCAAAAAGCTGAGCTCATTCAGGTTTTTGTAGAAATACTGGTTAAATCCTATTAAATACATTTACTTGGCACCATTTTTTGTAAGGTCCATTCTGAATGATGAAGATGATGGGATGCCAAAGACTACACTTGAACACCCTGTAATCGATAACTCTTAGCTCCTGTTAACAGAAGAGCTCTAATCACATTCCTAGTTAAACTATTTACCTCTTTCATTCAATTATCATGCAGTTTTCTTGCCTGATCAAAGGGTAATGTAGAGTAGATAACTAAACATTTTTAAAAGTCTACTTTTTTCTACTTCAGAGACACATGGGAGAAGAAATGCACTATCAACATCCATTTGATGAAGACAAGTCCATTTTAATAGGAGGAAAAACAGATTCTAGTACTGCTGGTGAGCTCTAAGAGTTCAGGTCTCCTTGAAGGGCTGGGGTCTAAGTTTGCCACCTTTCTCATCTTCACTATTCTCACAGTTGCAGTGGAACCTGTTAATAGTGGGCTCTCAATTGACTACAAACCACACTTCAGTTCCTGTGAAGGCAATCTTCCTGAACCAAGTTTTTAACTGCTTCTCTCAAATGAATGCATTAGTGGTCAGGGCTGCATCACTGCAATCTGGAGGAGTTTTGCTGCTGCTAACAATGTCTCAGAGGAAATGTCAGTGGAGAACTATCTCTGTTTCCTTGTAAAGATTTTTGTCTTTCTATCCAATTGCCATTCCTGTTGATAGACATGAACTTATTATCTGAAGTGTTTGGTTAGTTATAAACCACTATGATACTGTAAAAAAATATATAAATTGTTCAACAAAGCTAATAGAAAAAAAGAACAAAAAACTAAAAATATAGCTCTTGTAGAGTTCATCTCTAATAAGCTATTTGGTCACTGAAATGACATCTGAAATGCTCTTCCTTATGATTTTAGTAAGTAGTTTTGAACATTTGGGCTGCTATATTAAGCATATTCCTCCTTTTTCACTTCCAAGTTATGGTGTCACAGAGTATATTGCAGGCTCTTTGTTGTTTTACTATTTCTGATCATCCAGGGAGATTAGAAACAGTGAAAAACAACTGTAAGCAATAAATTCCTATTTACATTGTCCACATGTATTTTGGAAAGGTAACTGTGGCAATTTCTTCATATGCTGCAACATAAAAATGTAGTACAGTTCAATAAATTAGCCCTACACTCATAATGTTTTTTTTTTAATGTACTTCATTTTGAATTTAGGCATGGAAGTGTTGGAAGGTATTCCAGAAATAACTGGCAGATTTAAATTAGATAATTTTTTCTGTGGTATCATTAAAAATTTCTCCCAAAATGGAAGCACAGAAATAAATATTTGGAAATTTTTTTTGCAATCTTTTTTCCTCCTTATAAGTCTTTAAAATTAAACAGAACCTACAAGTGAATTCAAGCAGCACATTTAGATCAATCTTAGCCTAAGCTAGTGTTGATCCCAATGAACAGTGCACTAGAAAAAATCATTAAAATAATTAAAATCATTATACAGGGATGGGTGGAAGGAACAGGCAACTGTTTCTCATTAATTGTTTAAAGCTCTTCCTGTGAGAAAACATTCTTGAAAACCAATATCCTTTGTTTTCATCACAGAGGAAAGCAAGGACTAATTTCAGTAACTTCTGGTGCAAATACTAGGTTCTCCACACATCAGTTCACCGCTTGTCATGCTAAAAGTATTTTATCATTTGCACAGTTATAATCAATAATTGCCAGATATTTAGCTTTGTTTATTCTGGTTTTACCAAATAATTAATCTTTTGCCTACTATCTTCCATTGTAACTATTTGTAACAAATGTGACCTAATTAGAGAGGAAACAGCTACAGCAACTAGCAATCCATCCAGAAATATGAACTACTGCAGTTAGAGACCTTGCACCAGTGCTCCATTTCCAGTTCTGTGATATGCCACACCATGTTTTTCTAGAAAGTGCTGTAATCTCAGGCACCTTCTAGATATAAAAGTTGAAAAAGGACCATACCTGGCCTTTGGAGAGCATCCCTTAAGTAAAAGAAAGCCTAAGGCAACTGTTTGTATCACTCCATTATAATAAAGTTTCGTAAGACATTTCCACTGCATTCTATCATCTACAGTTCATTATGACACATGAAAGAACTGTCTGGGATCCATACTACACACTGTAGTGTCTCTTGCCAGCTATCTCCCAAGTCCCATAAGTTAAAGGTTAAGATCTCAGCCGTGAGCTGGCTAAACGGCTTGGAGAGACAGAGGCACAGTCATAGTTTCACCATTGAGGGGTCTTTTTACCCTGACTCTTGTCCCAACAGAGTCTAGGGCAGTCTTACACATGCCATTGGTGCCAGCAGCTTGTGGTCTCATTATCTGGGCACAGAACCACTCAACACCCACCCCAATGTCATGCCCTGCAACATCAGACTTTGACAATAGGCTACCAATCTGCTAGTCAACCAACTGAAGCTTAGGATCAGCCCAGACCCTTTAAAGGCACAGCCAGATCATAGCTGAGAGTTTGGCCTTTGATTTTCACCTGGCACCTGCACAGAAACAATAACCATTTGCCAAGCCAGACAGATCTGTACAAACGTTTCTTGTACTTATTAGCAGTATGTTTTCTACCTCTTCTACTGAAAATAACGTTTATGATCATGATTTCTATCAGGTTTAACTATTCAATTCTTTAATAATGTTGCCTGCTTGCATACTGCAATTTGGTAAGAAAAGCACCTATCTATGCCACAGCTTAAAATAAAAAAAAAAAAGATCGTAAATTAACTTTTTTAGCCTGGGATCTACATAGAAAGTTTACTTTCTTATTTCTATCACAGCAGTCCTTCTCAAAAAGGATGCCTTTCATTCACTCAGTGACATGCCATACTCCTCTCTGCACAGGAAATGGGACTTTTGTTTGCGTAATTTGGAAGCCACTTTTAAAACTGTGTTGAAAATTTGACTTGATACAAACGTTACAAAGGGTGGGGGTGGGGAGAGACAATGAAATATGTGTTTAAAGGAAATCAGGAGTGTAACTGAAAACTATGGTGAAAAAAAACAAAAAACAAACCAAAATCCAAACCCCAAAGCATCCAAGGAAAAAGCAAAGAATTCAAACAAAAAGTTGAACATTGTGGCCTGGCTCTCTACTACAATTTATGTAATTTAGGAATAAATCCACTCAAGCTGGTCAGCAAGGTCAAAGAAGAATCGCCCACTTAAGATCACCTTACCAAACGAGAAAATCCAATTTTGAGAATTACATCAGATTTCAGATTTTACAAGGTTCACTCATTATTAGTTTGGTGTGAGAATTTCCCAGGTTACAATGCAAAATAATGCTTAGTAAAAATATATGGAGCTCTACAACTCCTTTGCATAACTTTCCTGGAGTTGCACTCTCCCAGGCTGGACTCTCTTCATTTATGCCACTGTTGATTTTCTTCCCCCCATTCCTTCAATTTTAATCTAGCAAGGAAAGTCCTTTTCTAGCAATCACTGCCAAAATATTCAGGACATAGACCTCTCACTCAGAGAATGCAATGCTGTGTCCAGACAGCAGTGCTGGGTGCCTCAGGCATTTGTAATAGCCAGCATGCATATTCCTAGCAGTCAGATGTGTTCCACTGCACAGCTGTGCACCTCTGCCTCTGATTTTTTCCGGGTGCATGTTCCTTCCAAATGCAAGCTCTGTGCAGCCAGAGTAGCTTGTCTCAAGCAAGTGTTGGTTCACTGCTGGCTGAAGGGAGGAAGACCCATTACTGTTACCCATTACTCTGTTAAGAGTTAGCTAATTATCCCCAATAACTCCAGCCTTTAGAATGGGAAAGTAGCACACAGCTTTTATAAATAAGAATTACTGACCTTTTTAAATAGTTTCAAAAGAAGAAACTCTGCATCAAATGTGAGTATAATTTAGGAACTACTACATAGCAGCAAAACTACATTAGACTTTCCGATTTTTCCATGGTATCCTTGGATAGATACACCACCCAGTAGACCATGTTAAATGCTCCAAAGGTAACAGGAAATAAAATGCGTGCATATTTGTCTATCTTACTCGTGCCAGAGTGGGAGGCGGGGGGAGGAGGTGGTATGACAGCAGATGGCTTTGCAGATGCTCCTAATGTATTAGGTGTGGTGGTCTGAATCTGCTCCAGTCTAGATCCAAGCAAGTGCTGAATGGAAGGGGATCCAGCTGTGGCATGCTGGGATACAAATCCAGTTAAAATTGGGGTAGAAGGAGGAGCTGGAGGGGTAGCTCTTGCAGAAGATAATGTCTCCGATGCGTTGATTCGTGTGAAAGGGTTGGGACTTGATGCAGAAAGGGAGTGGGGTGTAATGTCAGAAGACCCCTGAGCTACAGAGGGAGGCTGGACGGAGCTGTGCCTTGTGTCAATTCGGCTCCCACCATCAGCTTCAGACTGTACTGTGGCATTTGTTCTTTTCCTCACATTTGAATTGGCATCTGTACTCTGCAAAGTTACAAAAAAAAATACTTGTCATTCTTAAAATAAACACTCAAACAAAAGCAATGGAAACTGTAATCAAGCACTATCAGAGTAATACTCACAAATATAACCAGTAGCTTGATCCTGAAGAACAAATATACCAAAAACCCATGAAAATAGATTTCATAGCATATAAAGTGACAAACAGGAGTTCCTTTCACCTGTGGCTGGAATACCAGAGTGAAGACATCTAAATGCATCACACTCTATGTGATGCAGTACCTATACAAACTGAATACCACGAAGCTAAGGACTCTCGGGACTCACAGCTTTTTTCAGACTCAAATGCAAAACAAGGTTCTCTAATGTCTATTTGTCTGATGATATAAAAACATTCTAGATGCAACTTACCAGCCATGAAGGTTTATTTATGCTTTGTATCTCCAGAAAAATAACTACCAAATACTAGGAATTCTAGTCTTCTACAGAAGAGGCTGTTAAAATGCAAATATTCAGCAAATCAAGTTACTGCATTGCTACTCTTTCAGAAATAAAGCCAGTGCTTTTTCACATCAACCATAGGCAATAAATTTGACAGGCACAACTGAACCAGGGAATAAATTAGTCTTTCATCAACTACTCCTCTCCATTCATTAAGAGAAGTGGTGAATTCTCCATCACTTGGTGTCTTCAGACAAGTCTGGATGTCTTCCTGAAAGATATTCTTCAACCAGATAGTACTTATTAGGCTGCATGAGAAACTGAAATACAGATAGAGAAGTACAGGAATAGAAATCCATTAAAGTTCAATATTCTACTGACTTTTGGGAGCGGGACTTGGCCTCTGCTTTTCTTCTCCACACTTACAAGGAAGACTAACATCTCCTGAACTTCCTTCTGGAAAAGTATCTAAAGAATTCTGACCTTCAGCCCTGCACCTAAATATGATGTAAAACATATAATACAATATGTGAATATCTTCTAATTAAGAAACTAACTGCTTTCCAGAAGACAAAGACTTGAGAACAGATAGGGTACACAGGTATAAGAACAGACAGGATTAAACAACAACTTGTTATACATAAAAAATGCTAGGTTTTACACCTCTCTGATGATACCATTCCCAAGCATTGCACTGCACCATACCAACTCTGCCTTCTGCTCCCCTTCCCTCCAGCCTTCCCAGAGAACCCTGCCAAAACTCACAACACAAATTGGAGGGAGAGAAAGCAAGCAGTGATGTCTTTCCTCTTTCACCAACAGCAGTTCTCTCCAGAAAAGTGACAGAGCAGTAACAGAGAGCAGGTTAGGTGTTATTCAAGGTACTAGTAGTACCTTGAGTAGTGACAACAGTGACACTGTGTCTGCTACACCAGTTGTGCTTCACTGTTCTGCTCAAGGAAACAGAGAAATTGAAGCTGAAAAGAAAACTAAAAGAATAATAATAAAAAAAAATATAAAATCACTTGATAGTATTCCCATCATGACCTAATGGTTCCTAATGACCTAATGACCTAATCATGACCTGGTTCCTAATCCTGTTAATTGCAGCACAAATCTGTCACTGGCAATACTGTTGGCATTAATTTATCTGAAACTGTCCCAGCTTTATGCCTGTTCATGGCTGATGTATTTGCCAGCTTGCAGTTGAGATATCAAAGCATCCCCCTTAAATTTCAGCTTTCCTTCCTGCACAGAAGCATGTCAATCCCTTTTATTAATTATTCTGCATCTGCAATCCAAAGAAGCAGAGGACTGGAAGAAATCAGTATTTCGGAAAGAAACACTAATTTTACTGTTTGATAGAGAAGCCTGAGTCACTCTTTGGGAAGTGTAGAAGTACACACAGGTGTGCAAATTGGATACCTTCATACAAGGGTTGTCAATGACCCAGGAACAGTAAAGCCATTTTCAAGACTGCTAAATTGAGATGAAGTACAAACAGGACAGGGGTATGTTTATTAGAGACTTGGTGATACCTGATGGAATGCTGCATGTCACTTGAAGGCTTGCAAAGCTAGGCAGATGGAAGTCATCAATGTTCACTGCCCAAAACAACATCTTTGTGCCATGGAGAAGCTGGCACTAGTCAATGAGAGGAGGTGAGTTTTATCTTCCACATGCAGATCCTTGGACAACCTGGCTTTGCTCAAGTATGTGTCACCCATTACAAAGCTCTCAAGCAGTGCCTGGGAAGCAAAAATCCATGGGCTGGGGAAGGGGCTGCAAAGTAGATCTGCACTGGAACCAAGACATGTCCTTCCAGTTCCTTCCTGTTCTCTGCCTACGTTAGACAAGTAACTTAGAAGTGCTTCTGCTGGAGAATAGAATTACCACATCTTCTGTCACTCCACATGCAACAACAAAGAATAGTCCAAAGAGCAAAGCAATAAATTAGGTGCAATCAATTTACAGAGGCACCATTTTATGTTCTCGCTCACTTGTACTGTGACCTGTTTTCAACAACCTTCTCAGTATACTTCCTCTTCATGCACCATCAACTACAGACACAGGTAAGACAGAGAAGTAACAGTAAGGCTCCCCACATTCCAGTCATCTCCATTTCTTGTGTAGGAACTTGTTTCCTTCAATATATTTGCATAATACCTCATCTTCCCCCCCACCCCCTTCAACTATCATCTAAATGACCAAATCAGACCTGCTGCTATTGGATTCACTACTTATTTTCCTTTACAGTCTCTATTTTATAATAAAATTATCTATACTATTTCAAATGGTCAAAATGTGTATCTGTGTAAAAGCTTACTGGGCATTTGCTTTCTTGTTACTGACACAGAAAATTTCCAATACTTTAGAAACCTTAAGTTTAAAGGAAAACACAATTTTCTCATAACATACACATAAATGTACACAAAAAGCCCAAATACATAACATTGTAAGATCAAAAAAATAACACAGCATAACAAGCACCAAAAATATGGGCACATTTTTTGTTAATTCTCTGGAAGCCACCTTCCAATCACTCAGAGCATGGAAATCAGAAATGGCATTTCTAACATGGAACTACAATTTCCCATCCACCTGAACCACTGTAGGGCAGGAGATTAATTCAGGAGTCAAACTAAGCATAGGAAGAAGGCTGCAGAGAAGATGTTTTAAGATTTTATTTTCTTGTTACCCTACTCTGCTTTGACTGGTAATAAATTAAACTAATTTTCCCCAAGTTGAGTCTCTTTTGGTGATGGTAATGTCCATGATGGTAATTGGTGAATGATCTCCCCCAGTCCTTATCTTGACCCTTTTGTTACATTTTCTCTACCCTGTGCAGTTTAGGAGAGGAGTGATAGAGCAGCTTTGGTGGGCACCTGGTGTTCACCCAGGGTCAACCCATCACTGGCACAAAAACAAGAAATATAACATGAAAATCAAATGGAAGCCAAATGAAAATGCAAGCCAAGAAAGGAAGGGATTATCCAAGTAATGATTACTTTATGAGGGCAAATCAGGAAACCACTCAATTGTTCTGAGCCAACAGAACTGCCGTGCTAGTCCAGACGGGGCTCCACAGGAAATACTGAGTGCACATTTTTTCATATTCTCAGTCTAGATTGAGAAAGGTTCTGATTTTCTGGAGGCATTTCAGTAAGACTTTTGGGAAATACTTAAAATTGTGTAGCTCAGGAATGCAAAATGGGAACCTGGAAACTATCATAACATCCAGTCTATTACACTGTGCAGCACCAGGCTTAATAGAACTGATAAGGATTGCCTGTCCATATAAACAAAAAATTCTGCTTAGGTAAATGATGCCTCATCCTTTCTTTGGAATAGCTTACCCATCTGATAGGTCCAACCAATAGGTCCAACCAATTCCACACACACCAGAAACTCTGATTGTTACCACCACCAAATCAGAAGTTTTAAGTACTTTACTCTGATACATTCTTCTTCAAGAAGAAACCTTCCTGCTACAGATCCTGTCAGGAGAATTCAGCCTCTGAACCTTTGCTGACAGAAACACTATGGATGAGTTTCAAAATTTTGGGTGATTTGGGTGCATAATTCCCAAACAAAGTTTTCAAGAGCTCTGAGAATACATACATTGTCCTAATTGTAAGACAGTTGGCCAAACTGTGGTTGGCTGGGATACACTTATATCTATTTTGTTTTTAACAACTAAGATCAGCAACACTGAAAACTAAATTCCAGTCTTGATGGGAGTTCAAACATTTATCACCATAACCTTGATCATGCCAGAGGTTGATAGGTGAGCGTAGTGAAGCCAGGGAATTGACCAAATATGGGGAAATGTGGACTACAGTCTTCTTCAGAAGAGATTGATAATTACTCCTCCTTTCTATCCAAATGAATATTTCCTTAGTAAATACAGCTATAAAAAGAAAGCAAAACAACAAACGTGCTCAGTAAAACAGGTTTAGAAAACTCCCACCCTATGCATAAGCATAATTCACTGAGGAGGAAGGAGGCTGTAGGATAGGACAGGGGGTTAAATTCAATCAGACAAATTTTTTCACATAGCATGTAACATGCAAAAAGCTTTTGAAGTATATACTGCTTTAAAAGGAATAGAGATTTTACTTTAAGTATCATATGCTATTTCTCATGCATTTTATCTTTAAAATAACTTGATTAGGGAAAGAATTATTGAGTACAAATTCTTCCTATGTGTTATGTCCTGATGCAAGATGCCCTTTTGCTAGTACTAGAACAAAAAGTCCATTTCATTTGGCTTGAAGATAGGACATCTAAAGCAGCCTCCTTACAGGTGTGTGCAAAATGTGGTAATTAATGCCATATCCTTCCCTTGACCAATGAATTTGCACACTATTTACCATGAATAATACAATGAAAGATGCTCTTAGCATAGTTCAGGATAAATCTATACAGTTTATTGTTAAATACTGTGACAGATTTGTGGAGTAAGTTTGATGGTCAGCTTCTATGACGGAATATAGAACAAATAAAAAAATCTCCTACACAAAATCTATTGCCAAAAATCAACTCACACATCATTTGCTTTTCCATTTAAGCTCAACTTCGAT